CTTACATGTATTAATTTAGTTGAAATTTGTCTAGAATTTTGAATCTCTTGCTCTGTAAATCTTTTTATTTTATATTTTATAATATACATATTAAACACGGCCCGCCTCGACTAGCCTTTGCTAACTGCGGGCAGTGCATATTTTTTTTTGTAATATCGTAATATTGCAATATATCATTACAGTTTCGTTTTTTTTTGGTTAAAAAACAATTCCAGCTCACAAGTTTGTGCTTGCAGTCAGTAGTCCCGTCGTCTTTACGATGTTCTATGGCCAAGTGGCGGAAAAAAAAACTCTATTCAAATGCCTGGCTGTGATTATCACAGTTAGTTGGGGTTGCTTCGTCACATGTACAGCGACAAAGTGAATTTGAGCGGAAATAATGTAATGCAAGTGTTGTACTTAACGAACGAATACATGGTGCCCTCTCTCGCTGGGCTGTGTACTAATTGCCTGTGAGAAAATTTAGATACATCGAACATCTTCTTTATCCTATTAAATGCTAACAAAGGCAAGATTTGGAAAAACAATGTGGGAAAGTGATCGAAAGGTAAACGCGAGAAGCCGTGACTTCTGATGGATTAGTTACACTTGAACGATCTTTAGTGACGTCAGTTGTTGCAAGAGATCCGTTTACCGTCAACGAGGTGGAAATTTTCAAAGCGGTTGATCACTGGGCCTCTGAAGAATACGAACTACAAATAATAACTCCTAAAAGCAAAGAAAAGAGACGACTTCTTGGCGAGGAGATCGTTTCTTCGAAAGACAAGGATCTGCAGTTTTTTTTCAACACCGGATTCTGTAAAAGGGTAATTTTACACCCAACAAAATTTAAGCAAGTATAAATGATACTTCAGGCTTATACAGCATTGATATGAAATATTTCGGTAGGTTCACTGGTGTAATAACACTGGTGGGATGTGTGGTAAGCGGAACAAAAGTTGGCTCACGAGCCTATGTTAAGTTATTTAGAAACCTTTCGCGTGTTTCAATAGCACCTATAGTGGGTTATCAGCCCTCTAAACCGAAAGAGTAGAGTAGAGTAGACATCTATATTTATACAGGATAGCCCCTTCAGTGTAGTAAACACTGGTATCAACGGGGGTCCTGTTACCCACCCATCCCACCCCAGGGGAGGACATCCATCACACAGTAATCTCGTGCGTGGGAAATTAACGTCTCCTGCCCCTAACCCTGCAGGAGACGGGACCTCCATTTATTCGTCCCTATCCGAGAAGACTAGAATATCTAACCATTTCTTGATGTTAAAGAAAGGAAGCATATTCTTCTCAGTTAATTTTAAGACCCTGAGTGTTGGTCCGGCCGGTATTGAACTCTCGACCTCCCGCACAGCAGTCCGGCGCTCTCCCAATTGAGCTAACCAGGCGGCGGTTAANAATACACCGGCGCCAATAACACGTAAGAATATCCAGGATGAGTAAATTTCCACAACCGCTGAACGGGAATCCTAGAAATTACTTTAAGTACAACTCCAACAAGCGGAGCGAAAATAGCGATTAGAAGTTTTCCTTCCTTGTTTTGTCTGTTGTACGCTGGGTAAATGGAAACAGTTGCGATGAAACCCAGAAGGAAGCTAAAACAGGATGGCAGAATCATTTGAAAGAAAAAGATTGCCTGTTGTCTTCTCGAACGTCCTCTCAAAAAATGCCTCATTAAAAGATAAACTTGCCCGCATATACTCATAAGAAACAAAAAATGGAGAGGGATCTTTTGCTTCCTGAAAGCCTTTGTCTGATTTACTTGAAACACTTGAAGAATAACACGATAAAGTGTATCCAAGCCATACAGTAGAAAAGTTACTAAAATAAGTTTTTTCTTCACCCCGATCAGCTGAAATGGGCGAAATAACAAAATCACACTTGCGAAAAACCACATGTACAGAAGAGCACAGAAGAGGATACCAGATATTGAAATGATCCACTGAACTTGTACCGGAATTGACTCTTTGGAGTGAAACTGACAGTTGAGTTCAGTTTTATACGAGAGATAAGTGATCAACATGAATAGCGAGCCTATGAGAGTGGCCATCATCAGTGAAATCAGTGCCCCATTACACATTGCTTTCCCCACTGTGGAAAGAGCGGATGGTCTGAGCCGCTTCCAAGCCATTGCTCGATCTTCATCTTGTTCGTTGTCTAATGTCTCTTCATTTTCCTCTGGTGCGCACGCGTCTATACATCTCGCATCAATCAGACTTGACGGAAAAGAAGAAAAAGCTGTGTCTCTTCTATCGCTGTATTCCTGAAATATAAACTCATCAGCAGGATGATAATACCATTCTCGTCCGGTGCTTTCTAAAGGATCGTAGCCAAAGGACTCCGCCGTAAATTCAGGTTCTTCAGGGTTGTAATGCTCTGTAACACCTCGTGTAAAACTGAACGCGATGTGACCGAACACCTCAATCAGTGTACTGCTACTCATTATATACCCGTTAGTCGACCGACTTCGAGTGCACAGCTTAGACTTCAGATAGCAAATGCAATCTTTCTTAATAAATGCTATCTTTAGGTAGATACACATCTAGAGAGTGAAAGTACTTCCGTAGTGAAAGTGCTTACGTGGCAAACTCCAGCCTGAGTAAAATCTGCTATTCTCAGCGGTTTTTGCGAACTCAAAGAAGCTCATTTCCATTTTCCTGCTTCTGGTAAAGACGTATTGACTTTCCTGCCGGCTAGACTGAGTGTTAAGTGAAAAGTTTGTAGTCAATACTCAACTAGCTATTTTAAACCTAACAACCCCAGGGTTGCTCAAAGTGGTTTCGGTTTTTGCTAAACCTCAATGATCTATCCAAAAGGAAATAAAAAAATACAAAAGTTCTGAATAACTGGTTTCCAAATTCATTTATTTTGGTACAGGGGAAATAGCTGTTCAAATTAATTGTAGGTGCACACTTGGGCATATTGTAAACATGTGATGTAATGAAGATATTGCGAGCGCAGACTTCCTCTGATTCTTTGAAAATGAAAACGGGAACACGGAAACAAAAGTTGTTTGTCTTATTCAGCGAAACAACCTGAAAGAAAATTATTCTGCTTTCGTAGTTCAACATGAACATTCTTTGTTTTCTATTCAACTTCTAAACTTTTAAAAGCCTTCAGACCACTTCCCTTGGAAGCACAGCTAACGACACGCATCAACTCACGAAGCAAGCAGCTAAATCTTGTTTATAATTGAATGGAATGGCGTCTGTGTTCTAAGTCTGAATTTTAATAGACCCAGCAGGGTCCAGAAGCGATACGGAAATCAAACAAACACGTTTATTCGTAACACGGTAAACGGTAAACTCACAGTAAACACGGTAAATACCAACGACCGCCAAAACATTTTCACGCGAAAAAACTGAAAACTTTCAAATCCTCTAGAAGAAACTAGCACCCGTCAACAAAAAAAAAGGCCTCGTGATTTGTCGACGACATTTAACTTCAAAGTCTCAAAGCGAGCGCGCGCGAGTCGCTCGCGCATAAATTCGGTAACGTCTTCTTAACAGGCAGGTTTAACAACCACCAAAATGACTCTTGGAGAAATAACTCTGACAAAAACATTTATCTATTCACATCCGTGAAATTTCTGCACCTCCAATTTCTCAGGAGCCAGACGTAAAAGTGGACGATTCCTATACCTGCATGAAAAACATAAGAACAAAACCATCACGCCACTGAACTCTGCCAAGTTCTGATCATACCAAAACGTCTTTATGAATGAAACGGACAGTCTTAAGAGTCAACAGAAGCTCGTAGAATAGAAATGATCTAAATATCATTTTCGATTCGGGTTTTTGCTTGAGTTTCTAATTAAAATGATCAAACTGTTTAATTGTTGTAGAAAATTAGAAATCTATTACCAAACACAGACACTATGAATGAACGAAACGAAGTCCTGGTGTAGTGTATTGAGAACACAGTAAAAGTACTTGTACTAGTGTTAGTGATATTACTGTAAGATTACTGAGTGATGTGAAAGTACTGTTACTAAGTAAGACTATTCTACCAGCTTATAAGATACTTGATCAACGAATAAAGATAGAATAGTAGTAAGCAATTGAGGAGTGTGTGTCTCCACTAAATGTATACACAACACCTGCCATTGCGAAAGCATCTGAAAGGATGTTTTGGGTATCGAAAATACCGTTCATTTACACTTCGTACAGTTTCATATCGAGCTTACGTCTGGGGTCTTGGGGAAACCGCACTCACTATACTCTGTGCCATATCAGGCGTGACGTGATATTTTGTTTTAGTGCATTGTTCTTTAATATCCCAAACTGATTGTAGCCCTAAAATTGAAAATACTTCACCTTACTGAACAAATAAAGTACCTAGGAATTTCTGCCTTAATTCCAAGTTAAGAAGGTTGGCCAGTAATGGCAAACATTTCTTCAATGACTTCAGGATACGTTCTTTAAGAATCATTCTCGTAAAATGTATCTTCGAGTTCTTTTATCATCAGGGAACTTCACACTCTTCTTTCCGTGGGCTTCATAGTTCAAATAGTTTCCTATTTGTCCACTAATGGAAATGGTTAGAAAGGTTTTTGCCAAATAGTTTTGAAAGCCAAATGATATCAAATGGCTGACTCAGGCTCTTTGGCATGAATTAAAAACTTCCTAAGCTGAAACGTCGAGTCGAAATTAGGCTTTCGGCTGAGGTATTTTTACTTTAATCTACGGACCGAGTCTTCTCTTGCTCGGATTCACGGACCTAGCGCGAACCTTACACAAACAAACTGAATCTTGCTAAGTGAAGGTATGGAACTGTTTAATTGCCGTGAAAAATTAGGACACTATTGGCAAACGCAGGAACTATTAATGAAGGACGCGAAGTCCAGTCATTATATAAGCACATGAAAGGATATTTTGACATAAATTGTTACTTATTAAACAAAACTGAAATAAAAAGTAATGGGTTCATCTTACTAGGCTCTATACATTGTAAAATGTTCGCCTTACTCGCTCAATCAGTAATGGATACCATGAATATTAATAATGCATCTAAACCGGCTCAGGGGGAATAAATATCATAAGTCGATACATTACCAAAGAGGGCGATTGTTCGATTGACAAAAACGTATAGCAACTTATCTAGAAATTCATAAATGAACTTTAAGAAAGCTACAGTTTAAATTAACCGATCGTCGTTATTTTGATTTCGTTATTGTTCACTGAGCATTACCGAACTTAGCAAGAAACTTCAGTTTATTGTTAGCCTGAAGTCCAACGGAAGCTTTTCTTTAATCTTTCACTCCCACACAACTCCCCCCCCCAAGATTAAACAATTCTCCTATCTGCTACTTATTTTAACAAGATTTCAGCTCTGAAAATTTGTTGTTAAATCAAACAAGTTCCTTCATTAACATTCTTCAAAGTATTGACCGAGAGCTTATTTTCGGTATTTGCGCCAAGGGGTTTTTTTCAACCCACGCAAAGGAATTAATTAAGTGCTCATATACTAATTTGCTAGAATTAAGTGCTAAATCATTTACAGAAAGTTTATTTCCGATTCGGTATTAGCAACAAGGGTTTTTTTGTCAACCCTCCGGAAATAATTAAGTGCTCATTTGACAATCTACTGTCAAGCCGTTTCAGTTCTTATGAACAAATGGAAAATAATTTGCATACGTTAGTTCCTTGGCGTCGAAGTTACTCGATACTTCATTTGTATTTACTTTCAGAGCAACTTTCAGTGATCGATATTGAAGAACAATGCGCTTAATCATCAGAGTGAACAAAAGAATAAATACGTTCCATCGATACAATACCGAGTTCAGAGACCATTGCTGAAATTACATCTGAAAAAACTTTATGAAAATATCAGTGTAGTAACTGAGTAATCGACGTAATCTTGTCTCTTGAATATTCACACAGCGCAGTAGGGGAGTTAATTCTCAGCAACTTGGCTTGCTTCTATGAAATACAAATGAGGCATTTCATACCAGAGCCCTTGACAGGTCTGGACGTATCAAGAAGGTTTGAGTGTGGTTTCCACTTTGTAAGCACTTTCACTTTCAAAACATCATACTTGGAAACTGGAGCTTATTCAAAACACGTTCATTCGATGAACGTTGATTCGACGAGCGTTCGTTCGATGCTTTTCGAAGTATTCCCACGACCACTATCGAAAGCGACAATGAATGGAAGTTTGCTGTTTGAAGTTTTTGGTCGTATTGCATTCAGCATCACTCGCGGCGTGACAGAGCATTACAACCCCGATGAGCCTGAAGTGGAGATCTTTGGATATGACGATACCTTAAGCAGAGACGGTCGAGAGTGGAATTGTCAGCCCGTTGATAAACCCATATATCAGGAATATTCACCGCCATTGTACAACGAGTATGATCTCTTGTCCGTAA